TTTTTTTTTAAATTTTGTTTATTTATTTGACAGACAGATATCACAAGTAGGCAGAGAGGCAGGCAGAGAGAGAGAGGAGGAAGCAGGCTCCCCGCTGAGCAGGGAGCCCGATGCGGGGCTCAATCCCAGGATCCTGGGATCATGACCTGAGCCGAAGGCAGAGGCTTTAACCCACTGAGCCACCCAGGTGCCCCTGTAACTGGCTTCTTTGATGGTCATTTGTGTTGTTTACACTTTTTGGCTATTATGAATAATGCTGCTATGAACATTCACGTACAAGTTTTTGTATAGACATAGATTTTCAATTATTTTGGCTGTATAGCTAAGAGTGAAATCCTGGATCACTTGTTAACTCTATGTTTAGCTTTTTGACGAACTGCCCCAGACTATTTTCCAACACAACTGTATCATTTTATCTTCCCACCACAGTATATTAAGTTTCTAATTTCTCTAGATCTTCACTAACATTTATTATGTCTGCCTTTTTGATTCTAGCCTTCCTATGCCAGAACCTTGCCATGCTGTGAAGTGGCTCCTCATTGTGGTTTTGATTTGCATTTGTTTTATGACTAATGATATGGACCATCTTTTCATGGGTTTATTGGTCATGTGTATGTCTTCTTTGGAGAAATGTCTATTCAGATCTTTTGTTCATTTTTAATTGATTTATTTGTCTTTTATTATTGAGTTGTAAGAGTTCTTTATATATTCTAGATGTAAGTCCCTGTGAGGTATATGACTTGCAGATATTTCCTCCCATTCTGTAGGTTGTCTTTTTACTTCTTACTGCTATCCTTTGAAGTTACATCTTTCTTGATACTTATCTTCAACTTTATTTCTGTTAGAAAGATGCTGTTATAATGAGTTGAATAGTGCATCCCTCCCCAAACAAAATTCACATGTTGAAGTCATAACCATCATTACCTCAGAATGTGACTTCACTGGAAATAAAGCCATTGCAGATGTAATTAGTTAAGATGAGGTCATACTGGAGAAGAGTGGGCCCCTGATCCAACATGACTAGTTCCCTTATTAAAAGGGAGAATGCCATCTGAAGACTAGAGTTATTCTGCCACCAGCCAAGGAAGGTAGGATAGAGGCCTGGAACATACTTTTCCCTGGTCCCTTCAAAGGGAAGATGGCCCTGCTGATTCCTTGATCTTGGGCTTCTAGCCTCCAGAACTATGAGGCAATAAACTTCTGTTGGCAATACATTCCGAGGCAATAAATCTTCTACCTAGATTGTGATACTTTTTTGTAGCAGCATTTGCAAACTAATATAAATGCCTAATTTATTTTTCCATTTTAGTAGTTACTTCCAGATCAGCATTTGAAGTTTAATAATATATCATTTCTTGGTTTGGAATCTTAATCTCATTGATCAATTACATCAAAAGTTACATTGCATTGGGCTCTGTCTCTACTTTCCTGTGACAAGTACCTTAGGGTTTAAAGAAATTATTATCAAATTATTTTTAAAATATATCAGCATTTATAACCTTCAGTGGACTAGGTTGCCTACTTGACATTTTGGTTGCTTGACTCTCCCTTTTCTCTTTTAAATAATAAAAATGATTTTATCCAAGTTCCCCCCATTTCCCCCTATGAAACAAGGAAGTGATCCTAAACTCAGCATTCCTAAACTCTGCTTTGTTTAAGAATTACTCATAGTAACCCTGTTTTTATTTCCAGTGATTGGTTTAGAAATGTACAAAATTCAGTTTTGGCAATTGAAACCTAAGAAGGGTTCTAATGGGGGATTTTTGAGAAAGAGACCAAGAAAATGTTCCTTCTCCCTTCTCTGATGCAGTCCCCTATCTGTCCACGAGACACTCAGTCTTATGGAAAATTGCTCCCAGAGCAGACAGAGTGAGAAGTGGGGTTCTTGGTAAGGCTGGGAGCTGTAACTAGAGGCTGTCTTATCTCTGCATTTATGTGAGATGATAAATTTCCTTAATGTTTATGCTAATTTGATTCAACATTTTGGTTTTTGTAGCCCAAAGCATCTGAACTACTATATAACTGTTCCTTCCTAATAACCTTTCCGTTTATTTAGCTGAATGTTTTTGCTAATGTCTAAGCTCTACAAAAACTCTGTTGGATAATTATATTGCTTTCCTTAGTGCTCTAAGCATTTCTAGATTTGTGATAGCTTCAAACATCACTAATTGAGGCACAGCATGTGTGTTGAAAATAGGTGACAGGTATAATTAGATATTGACTCCTCTCATCCTTAGGGTGACTGGGTAGAAGTCTGGGATAGCTGGAAACCTCATGGTGGTCATCTTTGTCCTGGAAGCAAGCAGCATCCTCTATTTATTCAAGAGTGCTGAATAAATAGCATTTCCTGAGGTATACACTGAATTAATGTATTGTTTAGTTTATTTCAAAATAATTAGAAAACATATTTAATAAAGCTAAACTTAAAAGTTCACATGGAATATCAGTAAATTAAACTGGAACATCAATTAAATAATTAATGGAAGAGTCTTCCAGTAGCCTGAATTTAGCTATAATTCTCTTTACCCTTTATTGCTTGTGTATTATTGTCATTGGCCCTAAATTCCCTGTGGGAATAGGGAAGCAATAAACTCAAGAGCACTGGTTTAGAACATAGACCACCTGAGTTCCAGTCTGCATCTACCATCGAACTGTGAGTGACTCTAACCTTTCCAGAATTCATCTCATCTATTAAATTGAGACTTGGATGAGTTGATCCATGGCAGACCCAGTTTTTATTTTGATGAAAGTTTCTATATTCATTGTTTAGCAAATTTGCTGCTTCTTTATAAATAAATGCTGTTTGTTACTCGGGGAGCTTACATTTTTTCCTCTTGTGTTATTTATTCTATAATTAGCCCCCCAAATATTTTGTTTTCAAATGTTAAATGGTAAGGATTTTGAAACTAGTAGATGGGTATAGCAGATAATGTCACACTATCTCCTCTGATAATGAATAGTAACTTCATTATAATTTGAAGTATTAGATCCTTAAACTAAAGAAGCCGCTCTGTAGGAGGATAAGAGGAGGTTAATGATTGAAACAGAATCAGCAGCAAATTTATGAAATTGTGTTTTCTCAGAAAGTCTTCATGAAGTCAAATGTAAAATGGTATCCAAACAAACAAAAACAATACCACAAGGAAATCCCAGAATAAAGCAAAACAAAATTTATTATTATTCTTTTGAGATTAGGTAGGATTATGAAACATTTTGGTTGCTTAGTTTTTTTTACCTCCATTACAAAACCACAGGTCCGCAAATGTCCTTAATGTGTGTGTGTAGGAATGGGAGGGATGGAAGGCAAGAGGTTGGCAAAGAGGTAAAGAAGTTATTTATCTCTTTCTCAAATCTCAGGAAGACATGATGCCCCAACTGTATTTGTTACTGCAGTGGTGAAGCATTTTTACCACAAGCCTGCAGAATTCAGGTATTTAAGACAAAACAAGATAACATGTTTCACACTTAAAAGCATGATAGACTCTGGTTTACAGGTAAGGTGAGGTGAGGAGACTTAACACTCTGTGTTGTTTTAAATATCTCTGATACTAAGCGCTTTGGCTGCAAAAATAACTCCAAAGGAACATGACCTGACCTAAAGTATAAGGATGAGTCTCTTATCTGAGCAATATAAGGTATGGAGTCCTTTTAACAAAATCCAGCCCTGCATATACTATATAACCTCTGAACACCGTTGGCACCAACCCTGTGGTTCACTTCCTGTTTGGGATTCTGAAGTGCCCTGGGGGAGGGAGGGTGCTAAGGGCTCTGGCTATGCTTAACATGGTGGGGAGAGAGTAACTTTGAGGTATCATAGGATACAGACATCTTCTCTGGAAGGATCACAAACACACTACTGTTTCTGGCAGAAGTCAACATTGCAAATGAACTAGAACCCTAACTACCATTTCATATATTCCCATATGCATTCATAAATTATTTATTGCATACTTACCTTGGGTTAGGATACTGCCCTTAAAAAGGTAGTAACTCTGCCTTCATGAAGCTTGCATTCTTGAGAGGGAGATTGATAATGATGAAACAGCAAACAGAAGCATTGTTTCAGAGAGTGAGGTGTGCTGTGAAGAAAAGCAGGGCCGGGTCTTTAGAGAGGAGACTGTGTTTGTGGCTATTTTCCGTTGTGTGGTCAGGGAAAGGCTCTCTGCAGAGGTGACATTTGAGCTGACACCTAAAGGACAAGAAGATACCAGCAGGCAAAGTACCAGGCAGAAGGAATCATTCTTGCGCAAGGAACATGCTAGAGGAATGGGTTTAACAATGCTGGATGGAACTTGCGGACTTCCAGGAACCGCAAGAAGGCCTCTGTGGCCAAAGCATCCTTAGCGCGTGTAGAGGAGGATCCAGAGTTAGACCAGGAGTTTCACTTTTATTTTAACTGATGGGTATCCATTGGAGGTTTTAAAGATGGGATGTTAAGAGTGTGATTTAATACAGTTGACATTTAAAAATAAACGATTGCAATCCGATTTCACTTCTTTAAAACCTAATTTCTAATTCCGTACGGGTCAAACGACACCCCAGCCGTCCCTGTTTGCCCAGGCTGTTTGCGGTCGCCGCCGGGTTGTTTGCACCCGACGTCCTGCTTTTAACAGCCTCAGAGGAGTGTGTGACAGTTGGCAGGCGCAGTGAGGCACAGCTAGAGCCAAGTCGCCGCAGGGGCCAGGGCTGCGGCGGGGCGGGGGGCGGGGGGGGAGGGAAGGAGGCTGTGGCTGCGCGCTGGGAGGGCAGAGGCTTTCACTGCGAGCGTGGCGGCGGCGCACACTTCGAATAAGGGATAAGGAAGCGGGCCCCTACGAACCCGGGGTCCCTGGGGCCCTGGTTGTTCCATCCCGAAGGTTCGCCGGGTAATGCCTGGATTTGACATTGAAAACAATGCAGGCTCGCGGTTGGAGGCAACGGCGAGAGTAGAGGAGGCAGAAGCAACTTAGAGTTTCCGCTTCAACTGGGTAGCAATGTCTGTCCTGTCCGCGGGCCGCATGCGGCTGTACCCACTGGAGCCGCAGGTGTTGATTTAAAGCTCAGCTCCAGCAGGCCTTCTGCTCGCGTACTGCGGCGCCCGCACCCCCGGCGAATCCAGCTCCAGGTTTTGTGATCCGCTTGCATGTAGAGGCCGCACCCTGGGCTGCCCGCGACGGGACTGGAACCCGTGCGTCTGGGGCCCAGCGGGAGTCCCCGCCCTCCCTTCGGTCTCCTGGCCTCAGACCCGTAGGGACCACTCTGGTGTGGGCCGGCAGCGGTTCCGGGATGACCCATAGCACCTGCTCCCTCTGGTCTTGGCGAAGTGAGCAATCCCGAGCCAAGTCTCCGCAGGGAAACCGAAGCTTCGAATTCCGGAAAGCGACCTTCGCCCGCCGGCGGCAGCTGTACCTCCAGATCGCGGCCTCAGTGGCACCTCTCGGCGAAACCTCTCTTCACCAAGCTGTCCGCACTAGCTATCCACTCACTCTCCCATCACATCACCCTAATTTAATGCTCAGCGGGACATTTCTTTCAGTCTTGTGTGCCTTCCGTGTTTATTGTCTGTCTCTGGAATGTCCACTACAGGGGGCAGTGGTCGATGTTTTGGGGCGCAGTATGGGGTTCCCGGCGCCTAGGACCCGGCCGGGCCGGGATGCAGTAGACCTTCTTCTTTGCTGAATGATTGAACACTTTCCTCTTGTATTGAAGAACCTGAGCGGCTGGTCTTCCTGGAGGGGCGTGGCTTTTTCAGGCCCCGCCTAGGAGGCTGCTCCCACCTCTAACCCGCTCCTCCCCTTCCTCTCCGAGGAGTTGGCCTCGGGCCGTGTGGTGTTTTTCCCTTTGGCCTCCCTAGCTCTTGCTGCAGCTGTTGCGAAAACCCGGAGCAGCGGAACCTCAGAGCGGCGGAGCGGCGCCGTCTCTCGCGGCACCTCCCCGACAGCCCTCGGCGGCCGCGCTGGGCATGCTCAGTCGACAGGGCCGCTTCAGTTCTTGGAGTAGGAAGCTTGGGCGCTTAGGCTGTAAGGAGCCGCGGCGGGGGGAAAATGGATCCCTTTACTAACGGTGAGTAGGCAGCCAGAGGCGTCGGGTTTGGGACTCTTTTGGGGTGCAGAGGGACGTTGGCCGTCGAGACACGCGGAGTCGGACTGCAGCCGCCCCCACCGTGGGTTTCCCACGAGGGTTTGGGGGCGGTGAAAACGGACTGGGGGAGGCAGCTGAAGGCTGGGGCGGGGGTGGTCAGAGGCCGGCGCGGGACCGGGGGCTGGCGTGAAGGTCAGGGCCACCATCTGCCGAGGGCCTGGGGGCGTCGGGTGCCTCCAGACCCCAAGCTGCGCTGCGTGGCCAGGTGGGTGAACACCAAAGTTTGGGCTGCTTTGCGCAGAGGAGGGGAAAGTTGGCCTTCTGGGTTTGCCCCTGGAGAAGGTGGTGTCTGCCGCGGCTCTTTTGGCAGGAAGGGTTAAGCCTTGGCCAAACCAAACTTCTCTTGTGCGCAGGGAGCTGTCCCCCTTGTCCTTCCGCGCGAGTTGCCTGCGTGACTTTTCCTAATAGGGCGGGGTGGGGGTGGGGGACTTGGCAGGTTAATTTAGTGGAAGGAAGGGAAACTTGCAGAAAGGCTTGCTTGGTCCTGCACTGCGAGGAGGTGCCTGCCCGCACTGTCACCCTCCTGTCTGTTGGTGAGGCACTCTGCAGGTCGTTCAAGCTTCCTTTCACGGGCTCCCGATAATACCAGTTTTTTCAGTCGAAGACTCATTAAATATCAGGGGTCCGTCATGGTGATATCACAATGTGACTTGAGGCGAGAGTCAAAGCAGGAGCCTGCAGGACGCCCTGCAAAACAGCCACAGCTCTTCACTGAATGGATAGAATAAATCCCACCCTAGTTAAAACCGATGGCTTTTGTTTGGACCAGAAGTGCCAGAGTCACAACATAGGGGTGAGATGTCTTACCATTTTGTGGCCTTGAGTATACGGATTCCCTTTTTGGGACAGAAAGTAGGAGGAATGCCAGTAAGGGAGAATTCACTTTATAATTAGAGGATTCACTCTGTCGTTGACCTGTGTTTTCTTGTGGGAGGTTGGTGACTTCAGGTAGACAGTTTGTCGCATGAGTAGAAGCCAACCTCTGCTCTGGTTTAGGTGTGCCACTTGCCCCTCAAGAGATAGAGACATATATATATATATATATGTCTCCACTATAACCCAAACCCTAGCCAGACTTTGTTGTATGCTGTTTCATTCATGGGACTGCAAATTACTCATTATATTCTCCCTGCCCCTAATTCAGAATGCTTTATTCTACTGCCATCTTCCTGTCTGTACTGTCTAATTAGGCTTAATGATAGTAACTTTAATTCTAAATTTTCTTTCTCATTCAGGTTCTATTTGTAATTTCTAAGGCTCTAAGAATAGTTGGGTAAAGTTACTAAGAGAATTAAGGAATACAGAGCTGAAGGTAAACTTAGAGACCTTCTAGTATTTTAAAGTGTAAAATATGTTTAATACAAATCGTTAAATCATTTCAAATGAATATTTCAAGGTTTTTGCTTTGTCCTAGGTGGAATACTTGGAGCTTCTATGTTTGTAGGATTTTAAATGTGAACTTTCACTTAAAAAAAATTCCCCGCAAGGCTGAGTCACCGATTTGGTCAAGACTAGTGCTAGCTGATTTTGCGGCCCTGTGCCTACAGAATTAAAGTACATTCGCAAATCCTCCAACTGGGGTCTTTTCTCCCCTTTTAAAATATGTTCCTCTAGATGTTAATAGTTGCAGATTGTCACATTTGAGAGGGCAATGGAAAAGTCCCAGAGAGGTGAACAAAGAGGGAGGAATGCTTCAATATCGATGTAGGAAGTTGAATTTTTAATCCTTTTCCTATCTGTCTTCCAGATTTTCAGAATCTGCTGGAAACAGTTTGACAGTGCATCAGTTTAGTTAATGTGTTAATCACTTGTTGAGGGCTTAAGTGTCCTTTAACAAGGAAATAGAAGCCACAACATCTAAAGCCAACCAAAAATTAGCTTCTAGCAACTTGAGATGCTTTTCAGGTTTAAGGTAGACTGTTTTTTATTTCAGAACTTTTGAAGGATAGCTGTAGAATTTTTCTAGTGTCTTTAAACAGGACTTGCTTAAGTAGGTTTATCTTTTTACTTAATCCTATTTAGTACAAACGATATGTACAGCTAATTCTTCCCTAGGTCTGGGTTTTTTGGTGCAGAGTATTTAATTATCCCTAGAATTTATAATGACAGGATTTATCAAGCTTGATATTGGCTTTTGTTGCACATTCACCTTCTTCTAATAAACTATTCACCACTTACACTTTCTCATATAGCCTTGCTTATAGAGAGAGGTGTGAAAGCTTAGCAAAACCATTTCAGCATTTCAGAACCACTTGTCTTTCAATTAAAACATTGTCAACGGTTTCACCCTCTGACCTAGAAATTTGTCAAAGAGGCAGATATAGTTTCTCTTTTGTCGTTTTTAACTTTCAGTACTCATCTATTCCAGTAGGGCTTTCTGTGCTTTCCCTGTTTTCCATCAAAACTTGCTGCTCATATGTCTCATTTGTCTTGGGCCCTGCTCTCTGCCTGCTGATACTGGGTTCATTTGATGAATATCCTATGTTAACCTGTCCAGGTAACATACTGCTACAACCTATTAAAATGCTTCTCTCCAGAAAGGGTTTATAAGAAGGGACCTTAGTGCCAGCAATTCCCATTTGGCTCAGGAGATATTTTTGATCTTGCCCTTGGGAGGGGACTGCTGACTATTACACTGTAGACTATATCCAGTCTGGCTTTGGATTCTTGGTGACTTTTTTTATGGGGAGAAAGATGTACTGGACTAGTACTCAAGATTGGTTTGGCAGTAACTATTATGTCCTATTAGGCAATTGGAGGTGAACTCTTAGGAAGTAGTGGTTTATATATTACTAAAAAAAAAACAAAAAAAAGTTGATGGCAACTCTCTAGATGTTTTGATAGATGTACTAGATGGGGGCAAGTAGTTATTTGATGATTTTATTTCTCTTTATTTCTTCTCCTTTACATGCAAGATTATGGTATTTGAGAATAATTTAAATTCATGTTAAGGACTGTAAATGCCAAGGCTCAGTCTTATGATCTGATCAAGGAGTTCTGAGGTTAGGGCTAGAAATGTGCGACTTCATTTTGAGGATACTAGAAGTATTCACCAGAAGGGAGCTTTTGAGAACTTTATTAGGTCAGCAAATTCAGGATTTGGAAGCATACTTATATGGAGAAGAACTTTTTTTTTTTCCTGATATATATTCATCATTTTTTTCTTATGAACAAAATTGCCAGGAATCACTTTGGTAGTACCACCTGGTATATAATCAGACAAGGGGGATTTACCTGTCTTGCAAACTATCTTTGTTTTGCTTTCGGATTGGCATCCAATTGGAAGTATTACCCAGCTTCCAAAATGGGAGGTCTGGAGAACAAATTCGATATTCATGGGTTGTAAGGCAGTATCAAATTGTGATTTCATCTTTTGATCTTACAAATAACAGTTGTCCTATAGCTGTGCGTTTCTTTAAAAAAAAAAAAAAAGCATGATCAGTCAAAAATATGAGCTTACCACATTTTGTGTGTGTGTGTGTGTGTGTGTGTGTGTGTGTATTTCTTTTTTATGATAAATGGCCACGTTGAAAGAATATCCTTAAAATGGAAGATCATTGTTGTTCCTTGTAATGAATGATGGAATATAAGTAAAAATGTTTTTATCCTTCTGTCTTGATTTTTCTATTTCAATTAAGTGAAATATGACTTAGATCAAGTGTTAACATCTTTTAATATTATAAGGTTGAGGATATAATTAGAAACTATTCAGTTTTTAAGGAAAGCAGTGGGGGGAAAGTCCTTTGCTTTGCATAACAATTTCCAAAAAAGTGTGTCTTGAGACAAACAGCGTATTTTAGGAATGATTAAAACCAGTGATTTTTTTAAAAAGATTTATTTATTTGACAGAGGGAGAGAGACAGAGAGCACAAGCAAGAGGAGCAGCAGGCAGAGGGAGAACCAGGTTATCTACTCAACAGGGAGTCTGACGCAGAACTGGGTCCCAGAACTCTGGGGTCCGAATGCAGTCATTTAACCAACTGAGCCACTCAGGCATGCCTAAAATCAGTGATTATCACTTATCTATAGAGGATCCTTGAAAGCTGAAAAATACATAACCAGAAAGATTGGTTATAAGGAAATTATCATACAGAAATAAGCCAGGGGTGATTTCCTCTTCAGTAATTCATGTGAACACTGTCTTTTGAGTGCCCACTTACAAGTAGATTTTCTGCTGGACACACTTGCAGGAAACCCACAAACCTGTCAGCAGATAATGCTGACCTCAATAACAGAAATGAAATGGAAAAATCTGGTTTTGCTTTCATGCTAATATAAAACTAGGAATACAGAAGAAACAAGAAAGCAATAAAACTTTAAGATAGTTTTCTAATTATGAAATAGATGTACCAAATTGTCTTTATAACCTGTTCCTGTAACATATGTCATCAGTAAGTTCACATTTGTGATGATTCAGTGTAATACTCCTGTTAGGAACCAACAGCATTCTAAACCTCATCTATGGAAGTATTAGGAAATTGCGATATGGAGGAATTCAGCCAGGGTTACTCCTGAAGTTATGATGGAGCTGGATTAGGCCCATGGTTCTTGGCAGTTGAGGTTAGGACGGTGTCACTGTGTTCTTTCAGTTACCTCATGTCTTGAAAACTGTGGGAGGTTAGAACTAGAGCTAATAATACTAGTAGATCTTTCCATAATATTATTGGAGCAACCAGAGAAAGTCTTTTTTTTTTTTTTTTTAAATTTGAATCCCTAGATATGTACATTTTCTGAGTGTTCACAAGAAACCAGGGGGGCACCTGGGTGGCTCAGTGGGTTAAGCCTCTGCCCTCAACTCTGGTCGTGATCTCAGGGTCCTGGGATCGAGCCGCATCAGGCGCTCTGCTCAGCAGG